AAGTTACGAAAAAAAAGCACAAACACTTTTACTAATAACAAACCGTATTACTGCTATCGACATAATTATATTTTCCGTTTCCAAATTTTGCAAATGTAGGCTTGTTTACAATTTTAATTAACCAGTAGAATCGCATAACTGAGACTACCTCTCCTGTAATCCGTCCATGCACTTACAGGCAAACCATTAAACGTTTGACTTTCATTATAACATCACAATAACCATTGATCACATCGTTTATATTTTGGTTAAACTTTTTGGTTAAACTAATTTAAAACATTAACAGTAGTATTTTGTACCCAAATCATAATAAACCGGATGTGGTTTAAACCTTCATTGGCCTGAACAAAACATAAATATGATTTAAATGCGGACTAGATTCCACTTTGACAGTGTTATCAAGTCTATCTAAGTGTATCTCAAATATTGACCCAATCACCGGAACCTACCAGTTTGTCTGAGTATACTTAAACTCATAAAACACGCAATTAACAAATAATCCGAAACTCCATATTCAAGTACATTAAAATAGCACACCAAACAAACAAAAAAAAACTCCGCTGAAATAAGATTATAATCAAAAACAGCAAACCCCTTGTATTAGTTCATTGGTCGTAGTTTTTATAAAGCCATTAATATTTAATACGTAAGAGGACAAAGGATTTACCAAAACGATGCGTAGACTTGTCATTTGATTCACGATTGCGGGTCAACCAAGCACTCGTCTATTCAGTCACGTCGTCAATAATCGACAGGGCCAATGAAATAACACGGATCTCCCGACGCCGCGGTGCTAAAGTTAAGTTTTCTGTTAGGATAACTTTGGAGTCCATTATTAAATAGTCGCCTTCGAAATACCATTCTCGTTGTATAAATTTCCATCCACAGAGGTGTGATATAGGGGGATTTTAATTAAAAACTAAAACATGGTTCACCTACAATATTAGCGAAATATAGCGCACCCGCGATGGAAGCAAGGAAGATGTTCATCCTTATTGTGGACCCACAACGTTGTTATGTGGCACATCGCCATAATCCATTTCCATGTTAATTTTCTTCTTCTACGTGATTGTGTGTGTATACCTATTACTCTGTCGCACCACTAACTCAAGGCAATGCCCTAAAATGCGAATAAGTCAATGCTCATATCAGTGTGCGTAGTATGCATTATGAAGGGCGAATTGTAGTATTAAAAAGGTAGAAGAATACATCTATGAGATTTGTGATCTTTTGACGACAACTTATTCCAGTATCTCTAAAACATGGAATGACCATTTTCGAGTATAGTCGCTCTTTTAATTGTCTTTTAGCGATTCGAGTTAGGTGTTTGGCAAACTATACACCTGGGCAATAATATAATTTAGCTTGGCCATAAAGATATATCAAGGAATAACTAATCAGAGGCTGATCTACATTGATAATTATTTGCCAATAATATATACACATGTGATGTGCATGTGGTAACGTTGATTATAAATATTTGTTGTAAGTGTACACTCGTTTGATGATGTACTAAGCAAGATGTAAGCAACTGATGATGTTGTACATCTTCAGGGAAAAAAATGGTAAAATTCTTTTAAAAATTCGATTTTGGTTTGTTTTCGATTCAGCTTGAGCACTTTTGACATATTTATCTACAAACATGAAAGGAACTAATAGCGTCATATTGGCCTAGATGTATTTCTTTAATTTATTCTGTGATTGATCAAATATATTTCGTGTTTTTTGTTTAAATATTAGTTTGTTATGTTGGCTAGTTGATGTACAAACATCATATCATTATCATTAATACTGTTCGAGACAGCGTGCGTCCGCTGGTTGTCATGGCGATAATACAGTGTAATAAGAACATCGCGAAATTACAACACAATTCCTCAATCTCATCTGATCAATTTTCCCACGATTCAGTGTGCAATAAACTAAAATGAAGGTGTGTGACGTCATCATGGGACCGACCCGTTACTAGTCAATGTGTTATGTATTTTTGTTTGCGGATTTTTCCCATCATTTCACAGTTGATTATTAGCATTACCCATTAATTTTGACCCCATCAAAATCAACTTGAAAGACAAGACTTTGTTCTTTTCTTTCGCTTCTATACACAACTTTAAGAGTGTTTTCAGTTTAACGTGCTTAGTTGATGACCGTTGGCCTATACAACACACTTTCTCATGAACTCCGTTCGAGTTATGCTCGCTTCACTTGTTCTTGTTCAAAATAAACGCGCACGGTAGGTTTGAACAAATTATCCCCAATTTTCTCAATTCTTTTAATAACCGAACCAACAAGCAGGAACTCTCGGCATGCGTGCATTGTCGGGTGGCGACGCGCTGTCTTCAATTCAAACCTTAACCGTCTTGTACTGAGCTGAACTTTCACAATTGTCACTGGGTTTCGACATGAGCAATGACAATCGGCTCTGCATTGCATTCAAAAGATGTACGGGTGTCAACGGGGGTAAAGGGATGATAAATGCCGTAAGTTCAAAGCAGGTGCAAGACCACGGCGAGCCGGGGAGCGGACAATTAATCTGAAGTGGTTGCAAACTCCGTCGTATTGGCAATGACGGTGCGGTACGATAACGTAGGCGTCGATCATACGTAGGCAACATTGAGTTGAGTTGGAAGCGGAGCGCTTTTGGATGCGTGCTGATCAAGAAACTCAAGTATACATTTTCACTGTCAATTTAGTCACGTGGCAATATTGTCCCGAACTAAATAAAGCAATACTGAATAATCATGAAAAAGTGAAAGGTCGTCTAGTCTGTACGGGTTACCATAGTTACACGTGCGTAGTTCATACTTGTCTCAATGCTAAGATATAAATGTGTAAGTATAAGAAAGATATGTACGCACTTTCAACTTGAATCAAAATTCGTCGGTCGGTGGTGATTTTTATCTCAACAAAGGTTATTTCCGTGTATTATATGTTTAATGCTTATGCGTGAAGGTGAGTGATGTACTCTTTGCCTTGATTGGAACTTGAGTAGACGTGTTTATTTCTATATTTATTCCATGACGATGGTTGATAATGAATTCATTTGAATATACATGTATAATAGTATATATAAATACACCACTGGTTCTGGGTTTGAGGTAATGTTTTTTTAAGTAGTGCATGTATAAAACTCAAGGTCGATGTGCATGGCTATACAAGGTAATTTCGTATCGATAGTTGTAAAACAAATAATACATTTCGAACGTAAATTTAACAATCTCCGCGGAACACCAAAACGATATTGATAATACGTCATTAGAAATATAAAAATCCAAAACAAGTAAAAACACGTCAGTTTGTGTAAAAAGATTTATTTTATGTGTATAATCCTCCCCACCGCACAATCATACACATTGCAGTCACATGACATACTTAGTAGCGCTTCAGTTCACTATCATAAAACCTATACGGTCAGTGGCTACAATACGTCTTCCGCTGCGTTCTCACGTGCGTACTAATTAGACTAATTTGCATAACAATCAACCATTTACTAGTGGTACTGAAATGGAGTTAAATATTATAATTCCAAAGGTAGTCGACGTGCACAGTTTTAGGACTTAATACCCAGAGTTTCGTCTTGTCTAATAACTCAAGTTTTGTGTAAATAGTCACGACGTCAACGCAGCTTGTTTAACTTAGCATTAAGTTCAAACTAAGCTATATTAGTAAAATATTAAATGTTTATAAATTTATATAATTATCGTCTAAGTGATCAACCAGAGTGTTTAGCTATGCGATGTTACAAAAATCAATACATACGTAACAATTTAACTTTTAAAGTTGCGATAAAGATCATAATTGCCCTATTTTAACTGTAAAATAGCCCAAAGATGGTAATCAACACTAAACACTGGTTTCCTGAGATCACGTGGATGATATTATGCCTGTATAAATGGATGATTAGGAAAGGCACGATTGAACGTAGAAGATAACCGGCTATAGTCGTTCATTGTACGCCACAGATCAGATACCGTGACTAACACGTGTCACTGAATAGAACACACGCTGGAAAGAACAGAGCAGTCAAATTAAGACAACTAAGAAGATATCGATTTTTAAATGTGTTTACCCACAGCAAAGTTCCGGTTCATACCCTAGGTGGTATTGTCACACACTGCGCATGCGTTTAAAGATAATGATGATTAACGAATGAAGTGGACCATCGATACATGCTTGCAGATAAGACCCTGCATACCCAAGGTTTTCTATTTCCATGAAAGAATTTATCAGATGGCGATCTCGTTCGTTCGACGAAAAAAAAGCGTTCCGAAAAAGCAATTTCAAAGCTGGTAAAAAAACATTATCTGGCCATAAGATGACGCAGTGTTGTCGTCACCCAGGGCCTCTTTTTCCGAACAAGAAATGCAGTCGAAAGTAGTATTTCAATCACCATACAAACGATCGTACGATATTTTGTGACAACGACTACGGTGGTTACATTGCAGCTGCATAACCTCCCACAGTGACATCTCGCCGTTCTTTCGTATTGACACAAACACGAGTCATAATAATGAGTATTTACGTAAACACAATCATCGAAATGATGAGGTATTTCGACCCAATGAGTACATATTGGGAAATAAAAGATTAACAATAATAAATAATATATTCCCGCACGCTGTACAGACTATTGGGTGCAATGGTATACGGAAATTTGGTGGATGGTGCCACATACTTTTAATTTTACACTTTGCCATTACTGCGAGCTTCATCTACATTATCTATTATTCATATTTCATATGTGTTTTTGCCGAGAACTATAATATGGCTTTGTTGGTCCTTACATAATCTATTAGAAATATAGCATACAAAATTTACCAAGCTGTGACAGTGCTCTTTTCGACATCAACATAAATTGTATGCCTTTCATTACGTGTCAAAAGTGACAGTTCAAAACAAAATGTAGCCAATCAGCAAACCCTCACTCCCACTCATATGCGGTTGTCAGCATTTGGACGTTGCGCTATTTGTTGTTCTTGTGCAGTGTTCGCCAAATAGCTACGCATTGTATAACAATAAACTGACGTGGGGCTTGAATTTATTGTTACTTTTCGATCACTCATTACTTTTAACCAAAAGCGATAAGTTGATGAATGGACTGGGTCTGACAGAAAACTCGGCTTACTGAGATGTTCCTATAAAGTCGCGTGCCACGTCACATCGGCAAGTTCTTCGCCCACGAGTCACCACCGTATAAGGTAGAAACGCCAACTGACCGTAACACTGAGTCATCCTTCTCCGCCAATGTTGCGTACCAAGTTTGTTTAACTAATTGTTAGCACGTTAGCTTTCCATTCAGTAAAGCCACATTAGAACATCATGGATTCTCCTTCAGCCAGTAACCAACTTGAAGATAATCCTACATCATGCGAGAGTCCTTACACCAATGATAATAGTGCATCGCCGGTGTCGTCGGTGAGTGAGCCACTAACAACGTTGACTAATTTCAGTTCCACGGTCGTGCCAGATTATGCCAATAATATGAACTATAATGCAACCGAACAACAGATAGTAAGTGATGTACAGTACAGTTATGTTCCGACGACTGAATGTTACCAGTCTTACAGTCGAGCAAATACAATGGACACCGGTCTTTTGTCGACATGGCCAGCTCCGAATCATCCATCCAACACATCTATGAATGTAACGATGCAGGGAATGCCTATTGATGTAAACATGATTCCCTCAACTTCCACATTTATGTCGACAAGACCAGCGTTCATGGATATCGCACCTCAGCAATATCACCATTTTCAGCACCATAATCAACCACAAACCCAACTTTCCAAACCCAAACGGAGGAGGGTGGCTACCGTTGCACAGAGACGAGCGGCGAACATACGTGAAAGGAAACGTATGTTCAACCTGAACGAAGCGTTTGACGAGTTGAGGAAAAGGGTGCCGACTTTCGCCTACGAAAAGCGACTCTCACGTATTGAAACCTTGAGACTGGCCATAGTTTATATCGCATTTATGGGGGACATCGTCAGCGGGAAAGATGAAAAAGACGTTAAACTGATGCAGATCAAGACAAATTTTAACCAGCTGAAGAAATTGGTACTGGGACCATCTTCTCACCATGCGTCCACGGGAATGGTCATGTCTATTGGCCAATCTCTGCCATGTAGCGAGTTTCTTGCAGATTAACATTTTTTCTAAATATCGTTGTTTTTATTACGCGCTTTTCACCAATACCTGCGTATTGTATGACGTTTAATCCTTTGCTTGGACACATTTCGTGCCAACTCAACTGGCCATGCCGGTAAGTCCCCGGCCAGTGCCACAATATGCGCACCAGTCATTAAGCCATTTATATTCTAAATATTTCATATCATCATTGCTTTTTGTTTTCATGTCTTCTTCATTCTGTATTTATTATTTCGTTTACGAACTCTGATCTTGAGAATGTCTCTTAAGAAAACGTCTGGTTCCTAGCACACGATGTGAAAACAGGTGTGGCGTTGGTAACTTGACTGTTGCCGAGAGCTACAGATCCCGTTATTTTTGGAATGCCGACTGACTGCTACAAGTCAAGCATGCATCATTACAATCATCATAACATCGTATACGGTGCATAGATATAATAAGTTCACATTGGTAAGAGTTTAAACTCTTCGTGTTTTCAATCGTCTATAACTACCTCCACGATTGGTGTCAGCCAGTACAGAATCAACGGGGTTCTCACAAGTTTTTCTACAATAGTAAAAAAATCGAGTTTCTTCAAGTTCATATGTATTTTTTCCCGTTTTTTTATTGAAAGGGCTTAACAAATGTGTCTTATTTATTTATTAATTTATTTATTTATTTTATCTACTGATCTATATTTTATTTATTTATTTATTTAAACGTTTCGCTATTTATGACTATTTTCTGATATGTAAATTATTCCAATAACATATTTTTTATCTCAAGCATACTATGAATAAAAGCAATCACTATACGGATCTTATAGTGAGAATACTCTGCTCTGACACTCCCACAGTGCATTAATGTACCACTATACTTATATTATCTATATAATTGGTGAACCAGCTTTTATTTTAAATAGTACACCTTATTATTAATATTTGGTTATTGAAATATAATGGACAATGTCCACTTATTGCAGACTCGCGTCTTCGACTCACTCATTCATACGATGATACGTTTTGTGTGCACAATGACTATGTTTGAAAACGCACACCAAAAGCAAGATCGTCACTTTGGTTGAGAAGTTGAAAATATTATTCTTTTAATATTTTGTTTTTGTGAGTACCAGGCAACATTTCCTGATATTGAATTCACTGCTGTCTCTTCTGACTGACTGAAGTTTAGGCGCATTCTTGTCTTTCAAATATAATGTTTGGAAAGGAGGGGAGATGTACTTGTATTTATACTGTTGCATGAGTCGGCTCTGGAAATAAAATCTACAACCTCCATGGTGTAAAACGATCATGCTGAATACTGTACCATTGCCAAGGTTCGTAATATCAATTGCCATTGTCGGAAACCTTGTTATTGTTCGACATTTTATTCAAGTGTTGTTTAGGGATAGCTTATTTACATAATAAAAATGTCACAATATTTTCAGGCTCAAAACAGTATTTAAAAATATCAGTTTTAGTATTTTGTTTTATTTTAGATTTGGAATATTACAACTATTGATATCAAGTTTAGTGAACGATATATTTCGGCGACTTTTCCTTATTTTCAGTGTATCTAATACCACGGCTGTTACATGTTGATAACATCGACGACGCGTTCATCAATATTGTCGTTGGCAACAGCTCTCTGTGCCGAGGTCAGAGGCAACAATGAACTCTAAGATCAACATTATTTTTCTTTCTCATCTTTTGTTTTTAATGTCAGTTTGTACTTGTTGCAGTCACGTGGCTATTTGGGGCTATATTCAGCGAAAATCGGCGACTGATATTGAACTAATTCGTCTGCGTGAAATTGCGCAAACAAGTAAACATTGATTATACAGAAATTTCCTTCCCTCCCCAAAGAATTCCACAAGTTATATATCCTATGTCAGATAATTTAAAGGTGTTCAATTTGCAGATCACCTGCTTACATTCTCCGCCACCTTGTGAGAGTGATTGACTCATTGTCTTCTCTGTCCCATAGTCCCCTCCCTTCCACACCATGATCATCCATGCCGTTAGTTGCCATGGGTACTGACTGGGCAACCTCTCGGCACTACCCTTCAGAGCAGAAAATCACCATGATGAGTTCAGTTATCGAACAAGGCCGCGAGCAAATCAAACGACTAGTGACTATTTGTCTTTTCATTTTCCCATGGTGGACATGTGCGAAGTTTCAGAAAATGCATCTGTCGAGTATCTCCCCGGCCAACCTGAAAAAATGAGAAAATCCACTACTTCTAGCGGTGTTCAGTCTATACACAAAGACCCCCAAGCACAAACCATGAGTGCTCTTCATTGCAATAAGCTTTGACATAACCCATATCGTCACAATGGCCACCAACCCTAGCTATACATTTTTTGACGAACAAAGGATTCTTTCATACACAGAAAAACACAGATGAAAATCTGATTTCACAGAATACTATAAATAAAACGTTTAGATTGGTATGTTCAGTCAAGGGCGCAAAATAACCCAATTGTAAATGTCACCATTGGGAAAGCTTTCGTATTGTTTAAAGATAAAACTATTGCGCCATTAATACAATGTTGGAATAACTGTGTTGAGATATAAAGATGGAATTAAATTTCGATTACTTAAACATAATAGATTTAAGAATTTGGTTGTAAGGTTTCACCCTGTGCTAATTGCAGTGTAGTGAAAGCATTCCTTGAGTATGATCCGGCATGATGCATACTGGACGCATAGTGTGAAATTTAGCTAATGCGCTCAATACTTGACTCGGAGCTGATTGCGTTTCTAATTGTTTAGACATGAATCAAATGATATTGAGTATTGAGCAAGAGTCACCTTCGCGATTGTTATTTTCTGAAAAAAAAAATTGCCAAGTCGCCTAGAATAAAGTACAATCACTTATTAATTATTTGCAGCGAAATGTTATCAACATCATCTATGAATTCCTTAACATGTTGGACCCGCATTTAGCAAAATACCGCCAAATATGCTGGTTGGAAATGCGTTGTAATATTGAAAGCAAATGCCATCATAGGACGTATGCGTAGTTGAATTCATTGTTCCAATATCTATACATAGGATAATGATATTCATAGGTGATTGGTAGTATTGTTTTATAAATTCACAAGTTTGAAAAAAATAGAAACTATGGTTAGAGTCATGCTAATAATGCACTAAAAGTTATCGGTGTTATGAAATATAGCGTAACATATTATATATCCTTGCACTACAAAGTAGGGCTAAACAACTGGAAATATATATATATTGTTGTGTGTCCATTATTCTCCAGTGACTGGCGCTTAAATGGCCACAGTTACAATAAGTTACGGCTTAAATAATAAAATACAGAGGCAGAGATGACATCTATTCTACCAACTTTCAGTAAATAATTTATATTTCACATCACGCCCCGGTTCACCTCTGTATATGTTCGGCCACATCACTGTGACAAATGTACGCCGATTATAGAAAATCACATTTTTAAGAAGAACGTAGACGTGTTCTTAGGACGTTCTAGTCTCAGAAACCTGTGGGTCCACGAGGCAATGAATTAACCTCCCTTAAAACTAAGGGATACACCAATTTTTGTAACTGAAATTGCCAGGGAACACCACAATCCAAAAAGAATGATTAAATCAATCGGAACAAGCCAAAATTGAATAGAAAAAAAATAAAGAAAAAAAAAACAAAACATTTTAGTATTTACAAATATTACCGTTCATTTTATTTGTTCAAAAAGGACGCTATCAACCCTTGACCGGTAAGTCACATTGCAAGAAGTAATTTAGCTCCGGCCTTGGTTTTGATTATTTTAACATTTTTTTCCCAAAATAAAATTGTTCGTCTGGGAGAGTGTTATTTACTTCAAAAATAGACACAGAAAAAAAGCTTTATTGGCCAGGTCGCATAAAAACAGCAAGCTGTCGCCCTAATAACACAATATCGCTAACAGCAGTGTTGGCAACAGGTTGGATGGAGTTGGCGATTTAAATTGTTTTATGAATTGACAATATGAGATGTCATCCAACCGACCCCCTAACTTCGCCAAAATATCTTCATTCTCGTAAATTTTTTTTTTATTCGGAAACGAGTGAAAAACGGAAGGTGTACTTTTGTTTTACTTTTACTTTCACAATTCCTTTTTAATTACATATTTCGTAAAAACGAATATTACACTTTGTGGCGCGTGGTGTGAGCAGAAGTAGAGGATTGTTGGGATTAATGTATTAAATAGGAAAAACAATGTGATATTAATGGCGGACTTTGCCGACATGATGCACCTTACTGAGTCTAGTTATTTCCCATTACAAAATATGAAGTAATAATAAATAATTATTGCATTCACCTTCCATGCCGGGTGAGATTCATAATTATGTGTCGAGTTGGCGTACTTGAAACAACAGAATGGTCTTTGTGACTAAATTGACATCATCAAGTGACCATGGCGGGTTGAATATGGACATCTTTGATGTACAACGAATTTTGATAATGTTCAATACTATACTTGAATGTATATGTCTTATGAATATATAATACTACAATTATGCCGTTCCATTTTAATTTTCTACTTCAGCCTAGGTGGTTCCAAGTGAATGAGAATTTAATATAATATAATATTGCTCGGCAATATATCTCGCGTTTTTTTATGCCAGGACAACGTACAATATTTTCCACAGATACGAGAAAATATACAGCTAAAAACAGCAACAGTTTATAGAATTAGGTGGGTAATGAGAGTTGATTTGCATGAAAACTGAAACGTATTGAGCGCCAGCTGACGGTCGATGACGCGAACTCTGTGGCGGTCAATTGGGTAGTATTGCTGTGCGTGCCAACGTGGCATTAAATACAGCTGCTGAACATGATAAATAGAAAATGAAGTTGAAATTTTAATCCACACTGACAAGTAAACGGTAGGAATGGAAGAAAAAAATATACCAATTAACAATATAATTACTTGGTACAAAGAATTCACTTTGAAATTGCTATGATGACGAGATTCCGACTGGATTTACAGTTCGACTATCTACGTAGGTAATATACAATCGTAGACCGGACGTGACGCAACCGAAGTGTGTTGACCTACGATAAACCGGAGAACATCGTAAACGTTGGTAGTCGTCGTCCTTAGAAAATATTTTTGTAATATGTATTGATTCTAGATTGAGCCTATGATCTTTTCTATGAAGCAGAGGAATATTAATTTGTTATGTTTTCAAAAAAAAGAGGGATACAGAGTTTTCGTTTTCATTTTGAAAAAAAAACACACACAGTTTTTTTAATATTTCGGACAACAGCAACACTTCCGTCTTTGAACAATTCCACCTAATCCGATCAACGCATGGATTATGGTGGATTAGACTGAGACAAGAAGTTGCTATGGCTTTGGATGAATCAGCTGGCAACATTTCAAGTGGCCAAGCGGAAAGTTTCAATCAATGCTAATCCGTAATTCAAATAAAAAAACACACACCACCTACTCCAAATCATCGGGTATGACTCCAAACCTCGTCCCAGCAACATTTAATTTCATTCCCACTCGTCGTTTAATTCCATGACTTAACAGTCACAGCATAAACATTCTAAACATTATACATTGGCAACAGTAAGCATTTGTTGGTGGGAAGCCGCGGTGAT